GACAGGCTCCACCGTGGCCTCTGCCCCTCAGCTCCCTCCTTCCAGGGCCACCTCGATTCTCTGTCACCTGCGTTGTGGACGCACCTGGGACACACAGCGTGACACAGGGTTTCCCAAACGCAGTCACTCCTGGGCTACCTTCCCGCTTTCTTCCTATCCACGTGCCACCTGGATAGCTATTTACTTTGTATTTCTGTTTAAATCAAATCACTTTAAAACGTTAACAAATACATTTGTTTAAAAGAGACACTATGTGTCACTTTGATGAGAGGAAAACCAGCCTCACTCGCCGTAAGCAGAGGCGGCTGGGAGATAAACATGAAAGCAGAGCTGACCACTCAGAGCCGCCCCTTGTCAAGAGAGGAGCAAATGACACGCAGGCCCCACGCGGGGCCTGGCTCCTGGGAACAGTCGGCAGGGTTGAAAAAGGATTGACGAGGAGGTGACAGTCTCTGTGTACTCAGCTAACCTCAGGGCATGTTGCTAGGACCTTTGGGACAGGATAGGTTTGGTCCTAAAACCAGATGATCCGCGTGAGCAGCTTGGTGCAGTGCCCGCCTGGAGCAAGCGCTTGATAAATGGTTGCGGTGTGGCTGTGTCCTTGTCCCTCTGCTTGCCTGGGAATTCCAGGAGAACCGAAGCGGTGCCTCTTTTGTGACACTGCCTCCCCGCCACATGCTGCACACCAAAGGCATCCAGTCAATGTTGGTGACAGGAGGTGGAAGGGACTGGAGTTTCTGTGATGCTAAAAGAAAGCATTTGTCTCACTCGTAGCGAGCACTCATAGGTGCTGAACAAATGTTTGTTGCGTAAAGGAGCAAACGAAAGAGTGAAAAGCCCACCAGCGTGTAAACTCCGAGAGAACAGGGTTTTCCATCTGTTCTCGCACTGCTGGGGCTTCTGCCGGGAACAGTGCTTGGCGCTAAGTAGGTGCTCAATGAACGTTTGTCAGGTGGATGCCTGAATCAGTGTCTCTGTAAATGAATGAGTGAATGAATGAAGAAATGATTGAGCACATGAGTGAGTGTCAGTCTTTCTCCAGACCCAGGAGACAAGACTTTCGTAGTGTTTCAGGCCCCCAGTGCAGGCTGGCCGAGCCCTGAGCAGGGAGACCAAGTGAACCAGAGGGAGGCTCAGGTCACTGGTCTCCGGCATCTCTGGGTTGCCCTAGCAACACCCTGGTTGCTAGGGTAGAGGAGCATCCTGGGAGCTGCCGTGGATGGGCTCAGGGTGGGCAGGGCTGGCGGGTACCACTGGTAGCTTCTTGCCACCAGCCAAACCCTCAGTAATGTTCCCCCCAATCCCAGCAATAGGCCCCCCAAGTAGGGACACCTGGATGGTAGGGGCTGCTTTCCACGAGGGGACGAACACTGGGCCACATGGCACCAAGAAGCGTTTTCCACATAGGGCTTTATTTCCTTCTAGACCAGGCTGAGGTGGTGCTTTCTGGGCTTTGTACTTCCCACCCACCGGCCCCACGAAGGGCGGGTTTCTGAGGAAAATGGTGTCCCCTGCTTGAGTGTTTACATGCCATTCACATGCCAGGCATAGAACATTCTCACGGGATCATGCATAACCAGCACGTGGTCTGAGTTGCTCTGGGTCTGGGTGGCCTGTGAGGGGCCAGCCTTGCTCCAGGTGGGCTACAAAGGAGGCTGGGCAGCCTCCCTGCGTATCTTGACTCCACCAGTAGGAAACCGAGTCTTGACATACGAGTTTTGACATATGTATACACCCATGAAACTACTGCCACAACCAACATAATGAAACCCCAAAAGGTTTCCTTATACTTCCTTATAACCCTCCCTCCTGCCCCTCCTCCGCCGGGCAACCACTGATCGCAGAAAACTCCTTCTGTCACCGTAGTTTGCCTTTCTAGAATTGGGATCGTGCTGTATGTATTTTTGGAGGGTTGGGTCTGGCCCATCCTGTACCTCCAATGTGCCTCAGCCTGTAATTAGGCAAAGCCTTCGAGACCTCCAGCGCAAGCCCAGCTGCAAAGGACAGTCACGCAGGCCAACGGGCTCTGGAGGAGCCAGCGTGGGCCACTCCTGGGAATCCCTTTTCCTAGACGAAGCTAAGGGGCTGGCAGGGGGTGACGGGACTGACAATGACAACAGCTACTGTTGTTCTCCCAGACCGATCATGGGTGTGAACTATTTCTGAAAAAGTCCCGTACAAAGGGACAGGCACAGGCTTTGGGGGTGGGCTGGCGGAGGATCAGGCGGGGACCCGGGCGCAGCTGCTGGGAGGCAGAGGGGGGTAAAAGAAGGGGGCACATAGGCTAGGACCCTCCCCAGGAGTGGCACACACGTGGGGGACACAACATACCCCGCTGTAAACCGGTTTGTGCGAGGGGTCTTCATGGAGACATGGACCTTAGCTCATGCCAGAGAGGTGACTTACCTCAAGTGGGAGGATTAGGTGAGGCTTCTTGGGAACACTGATGTTTGAAAGTGTTGGTCTTTGAAAACTAGAGTGGGATCATTCCAATAGCTAATCTCTAACGAGCACTCAGTATGTGCCAGGCGCTCTTGGAGGGCTACGCGTGCATTATTCCATCTTGTAACGCCCCACTGGGCGGGCACTTTACAAGCAAGGGCGTGGATGTGTGGCTCGCCCGAGGTCTCGCAGGTGATAAGCGGCAATGCCAAGACTTGGCCCCCGGTGGTCTAATTCCCGACTCAGCACTGCCGCTCCCATCTGCCTCTGGCGAGGGGGTGTGTGAACGGGACTATGCCCCCGTCTGAGTGTGATTCGAAGGTCCCTTCAGGACCTCTGTTGAAGACGATTGTCACTTCCCACTAGGCTGAAATGGAAAAGGCAGACAGTGTTGAGCAAATGTGGAATAAATGATTCCACGTCACATGCAGGTAGCACTTTTTGCTTTGACAGTGTGGTCTGTCCGTCTGTCTGTCTGTCACTCTCTCTTTAGACTTCCACGGTTTTGATGATGGAACTTTCCAAGTAGAGTTTCGCTAGCAGTCTCTTTGAACTATACTCCTCGTTCGTGACGTTAACAGGGGAGCGACGGTAAAGACGTCGTCCTGGCGGGCAGGCACCCGGAGCGAACGCCTTTCACAGAAGAGCAGGTTTATCTCAGCAGTGGCCCCGATGAGAAGTGACCGGTGGAGCTGGTGCGTGGGCTTTCTGAGCCGTATCGGCTCTCTGGGCAAATGACACTGCTCTCTTCCTGGTCATCGATCACACCAGCACATGCTCTTGGACGTTGGGGCACGTGGTGGGGTAGGAATTCAGGCTCGACAGAGCACACGCAGCCTCACCGCTGGGCCCTGCAAGTCTGGGAGGGGGTGTCAGCACAGCCTGTCCCCAGAGGGTCTTCTCACAGGCGAGGGACACCTTGACAACCAGAACTGCTCACAGACCGAGGGCTACTAGGTGACAGTAGCCCTGGGTGTTCCTGTCACTGTAAGGTGACATGCATTCGGTACCCCATTGTCTCCATTCAGCGTGTGTTTATGGTCAGCTCAGTGCAAGATCAGATTCCTTCTGGTAATGAACTAGGCTGGCAGGCTCATTCTGTATTCGTTCTCTCATTGTTTTTTTTTTTTTTTTCCAGACAAGGTCTTGCTCTGTCGCCCGGGGCTAGAATGCAGTGGCATCATCATAGCTCACAGCAACCTTAGACCTCCTCTGCTAAGCCTCCCACCCCAGCTTCCCAAAGTGCTAGGATTATAGGCGTGAGCCTCTGCACCTGGCCCATCATTCTTTTATTTTTTATTATGAAAAATGTCAAACACATAGAAGTAGAGAGAATCATGTAAAAGACTCTCACGTGCCCAACACAAATGCCAGCATCTTGCCAATCTTGCCTTGTGATTGACCTTTTCCTGATTTTCATTTTATTTTCTGTTGAGGTACAACAGCCTTACAGTAAAGTGCACAGCTTGGCATATTTTGATGATGAATTTCTGTCTGTGTTTAAAAACCTATGAAACCGTCAGATCAAGATCTAGACCCCTGCTCCTTCCTGGGATCTGCACTTTCATAAAGTGTAGGGCACGTGGCAATATTATAGTGGGAAAATGTTTCTAAAGATAAATAGAGGCCGGGCGTGGTGGCTCACGCCTGTAATCCTAGCACTCTGGGAGGCCGAGGCGGGAGGATTCCTTGAAGTCAGGAGTT